ACTGCTGGCAGTCTGAGCTTCTTGGAGGCCTCTGGAATGAGAGAGTAAAACTTCCCAAAGGCAGGATGAGTCACTTTCAGTTTGGCAGGATGCTCCCACTTCGCCTACATAACCTTATAAAAAGCAGCTGGCAGTGGCACCCCTGTGGATTTCAGGTGTGCCTTGGGCACAGTCTTGTCTGACCCCATAGAAAACTCTGAATCCTCCTCTTTTTGGTCTTTTGGTGTGTAGGAGAGCTCCAGAGTTCTGATGACCTTAGGGAGGAGTTTACAATACAGCTCTTGAGGATGTTCTAGCGCGGAGCCTGAAAAAGGCGGGGAGGGCGGGCGGCGGCTCTGCAGGCCGTTTTTCAGGCCCGGTGCCCCAGGGCGGAGCCTGAAAAAGGTGGGGAGGGCAACTCAGCAGCCCCCCCCCGCAGTGGTTGCAGCGGCCATAACTTTTTAAAGAGCCCCATAGGACAGCTGGGAAAGCCAGAATGACCTCTCGCGTGAGAGGTGGAATTTGCCCCTACGAGTCCAAGGCCACCACCCCGGGGCTCAGGGAGGTGGGAGAACGTTTTGCCCCACCCCCCGGCATCGCAGCTGCCACCAAGAACAGCCTCAGCCAGGCAGAGACGGGGGGGGATTTTTCCCAGGGTGCGCGGCTTCGCGCATCTCCGGGAACGTCTGGGTTGGCCCTGGAGGCCTAGCGGAGGCTGCTGGAGCAGCTTCGGCCAGGCAGAGATGGGGGGGGAAGCCGACTTAATCTCCTGCTTCTTCCTCATTCTGGAACAGAATGAGGCGGGAAGCAGAGGGCGGCCGGAAGAAGGGGCGGGGCTTCGCCATGTGACCGCCCCCCCCGGTGCCTCTCTCCTGGAGCGACGTACCGGCGCGCTCCGGCCTGATCTGAGGTCTGGTCCAAGGTATTGCCAAATAGTTCACCCTCTAGGAAAGGACTTGTGGCTATATTAGCCTTGTAGTAGCATCCACAGTCTATTTCTTCAGCCATAAAATCCTTCTTGCCACTATAGTGAAGGCCATAGCCTTTGACGAAAATTTCACAGAACTGAAACTGGCATCAGCCATGAAGGCTGTAATTCTCACTAGTCTAGAGAGGTAGCTAGTGAGCTTCCTTGATAAACCAGGAGTTTTCAGGTGTTAAGAGATCTTTGGTGGAAAGGAATAATGCTTTATGGCAAGTCTGATGTGGAAAAACTGACCTGGAGATTCAGTACATTCCTCCTTGACTCTTTTAGTAAAAAGCAAAGGAAAGGAAAGGTAGAGTCCAAGGTTTGGGGCATACGGAACACCTCCATGGTCCCATTCTCGTCATCGTCATCTTTATTGGGCTCTTGATCTCCCTTGGGGGTAGAAAGTCGCAGAATCTTTAGGGCCCTAAGGAGAGTAGTCTCAGGGCTGTAAGAGGCACAGCTCTTCACACCCCACCCCTGCATCAGCCTGCATTCTGCTGAAAAGGCAGGCTACCCAGGGGGGCATGGACTGTCTTATGGGATAAACTCAGATCACTGTGAAAAAACAGTCTGTGAGACTGAGGGGCCTGCTGAGGAGGGTCTTCATCCAATAGTTCCCCATCCTCCCTGCTGAGGCAGACTCTCAGTACTTATGGCTGCAAATATCCTCCCCCAGCTGGGAAGACATTGGCAATGAAGCCTGGGAGGAGGGGAGGTAGGTTTTTTGTGCCACTTTAGTAGACCAAAAGGATTTTTTGGTGATCTGAGTCTAGCCCATAAGACAGTCTCTTGCCCCCTGGGTAGTTGGCCTTTTAGGCAAAATGCAGGCTGAGGGGAGGGGGAGGTGCCACTGGCAACCACTACAACAAGGCACACAGGTCATGGCACCATCATAGCAAGCTGAAGTGTTTTCTGTTTCAGCCTGATGCTCTACCATTTTGTTCCAAGAGGCCAATTTACATCTCCACTTTTGCTTCTGTAACCCTCATGAAAGCTAATACCCAGGATTAAGCCTTGTTGGTCTTAAAGGTGTCACTGGACTCAAACTTTGTTATATTGCTTCAGAGCAACACAACAACACACCTGAACCCTAAATCACCTGCCAGTTTGCTGGCCATTTCAAATTCAAGAGACTGAGATGCAAATGACATAGTTCTTGGGGGGGGGGGTGTCAGCAGTACGAACAAAGTGGCTTTTTCCCCTTCCAAAGAAGATAACAGAGAAGAAAACAAACAGTAAAGCACAAGAGGGAAATAAAGGATAACCGAAAAGGAACTCCACCCACAAAAAGGCCAAAAGGCAACTGGAGCTCCTCCAACTCCTGCACATAAAAAGGAAGCAGGAAAAGAACTGAAGAAGGAGGTACTTCTCTCCTTAAGGGCAAGAAGGTTCTAGAAGGAGTATCCAAATGTTAGGATGTCCTCCTCTCCTCAAATGAGATAAGAAACTGATAGGGCATCAATGAAAGCTTTTTAAGCACAGTTAAATACTGTTCTTTCCTCTGGAGATGTGCAACTAAAAAAACCCTGACAACATTAAAAACCTGACTACATGCATGACAAAACACGGTTAAGCTAGTGCAGAATAGGTTCCAATCTCTAGACCAGTGATGGCGAACCTTTTAGAGACCGAGTGCCCAAACTGCGACCCAAAACCCACTTATTTATCGCAAAGTGCCAACACGGCAATTTAACCTGAATATTGAGGTTTTACTTTAGAAAAAACAACACATACATTAACTTAAGATGATCCAAACAAAGTAAGGAAAGCAATCCCAAATGCTTTCATTTACTTAAAATTATTTGGCAGAGAACTCAACACTTTAATGATGGTCTGGGCCTGGCTGGGGCGATGGCACATGTGCCCACAGAGAGGGCTCTGAGTGTCACCCCTGGCACCCGTGCCATAGGTTCGCCACCACTGCTCTAGAAGCTTCCAAAGAGACCTTTGTTTCAATAGTTCTGCCAAACCTATCTAACAGGGTTTCTATGAGGATAACAAGGAAGAAATGGCAAAACAAAGAGATAATAAGCAGTCAAATGCAGAGTAAACAAAGCCCCCTGCCACAAGCATGTATAAGATAAACAGTAGGAATTGGCCCTAATATACCCCCAACCTGAGAAAGCAGAAATAGAACATTCATTTCCATCACAATTGCACAGGGGAAAGACATAAAAACTAGGCAATTAATTTGTTAAAACTGTACTTTTCTAATCAAAGCCCAAACCTTGACTTTAACTGTAAACCTTTTCATTGTGCTTTCAAGCCTAATGCAATAACTCTCAAGTCAAGCAGGGAGAAACGGCTGTAACATAATATCTTAAATCGGGGCAAAGTGATTCGGAAAGAAAAAGCATGTTTATATATCCTGAAGCCCTAGAAGGCACAGTCCTTCAAAGAAGGAAGGCAAGAATCTGAAAGTAACAACATGACCTGCAGAAACAAGCATCAAGCTTCCATCTTCATCTCCTTATGAGTGTTGCACCTTTCAGAGAAAACAAATTCTTATTTAAATTCTAAGAAATAGAAAAAAATATGTTTCATTTCTTTGTTCAGTGGACCTTGTCCCTTCGAAATCTGACCCTTGAACTGTAAAATATAAGAGGCTCACAAAAAGTCTTGGGAATCCATAAGACTGCCTTATACTGAATCAGACCCCCAGTCCATCACAGTCAGTATTGTCTACTCAGACTTGGCAGCAGTTCTCCAGGGTCTTTCACATCTGGTACTTTCAACTGCACATGTCAGTGATTTAACCTGGGATCTTCTGCATGCCAAGCAGATTCTCTACCACAGAGCCATGGCCCTTCCTCCAAAATTCCACATGCATACACACCAGTGAGGAGATACGGTTTTGTCTTAACACATGACAGATTCAGCAACTACCTAACAGAAATGCTAACGGTTATTCAGAATTGGGTATTTTCACCACACTGCATAGAAGTAAAGCAATAATTATTATTCTATTATTTACACAGTGCCATCAGTGCACAACATGAGAAATATATAACCCATAATTCAACACAGGGAGATAATTAGATGAGGACTAATGTGGTACCAAATAGTGGTGTGCATTCGGATCTTCCTGAGACAAAAATATACACGAAAAATTTTCAGGTACATTTCGGCATCCCAAAAAAATACGGGACTTTTTGGGGAAAACCCCCCCCCAAAAAAAAATCTGGAAAAAAACTGTGTATATTTTTGGGAACCAGGAAGACCGGGGAAACAGCTGAGAGGCAGGGAGACTGCTCCCCACCCACCTATCAGCTGTTCCTCCTTCTGCAGTCCATTTAAACCAGGCGTGAGCTGCCACTCAGCTGTGTTTTGTGGCTTTGCAGCTCCTGTGTTTGTTTGTTTTTTCCCATCTCGGGTCTATGGGACCTAAAAAAAATCGGGATTTCTAAAAAAATCCCAGATCTGAATACTTTGCCAGTATTGGGATCCGGGAGTTTTCAGATATCCTGGAATTTGGGGGGGGGGGGTTTTCAATAGACCCAAACCAGAAAAAAATGCACACTCTTAGTACAAAAGACTTCAGAGAAAAATCAGATTTTGAGGAGATTTGAAAAAAACAGGGTGTAGCATCATACAGGAGTTCCTAGGGAGGTCCAAACAAAGAGCAGCAAGGAAGAAAGAGTAACTGTCAGGCCAGCCTTCATGGTTGATCAACAGGGTGGATGGGGACATTATTAACGGATATGGGAACTATACAACAGAGACGAAGATTTGTGAGGAAAGAAGTTTCATCTTAGTGCACCAAGAGAAAACACAGATCTTCTTGGAAACAAATAGCTGCCTATTTTAATCAGATATTAGACATAAGATGTCTTTATGAAGCTCAGCTTTGGAATTGATTTAATAAAACTCTCGTGTTCAGGCTTCCTGCTCTATCAGGTTCTAAAGCAATAACCTTACTAGAATCCCTGTCCTTAGCACTCTACTGGGGCTTAGTGATGCTTTCTCATCCATAATGCTTTGATTCTGACATCAGTTAAATATAAAACTATTAAAGAGATAAAGGGTTGAATCTTAAACAGATGTAACCTACCTGATCTTGCAGAGACATAACAGGATTATTTTTGGTTGTGTTGATATGCAGTACATGATACTTGTTTCTTGCACAAAGATCATAAGCAATATTTGTAAATGAAGTGCTAGCAGTTTTGGGGACTCGATTATAAATTATCACCAAATCATCATCTTCATCCAGAACTGCATCTGATCGAGAGCCATCTATCGTATGACGTTGCTCAATTTCTCGAACTTCGTGTTTTGCAATAGCCCTTTCTAGAAAAACAAACAGAATGCACAAATAATTATTAGAGAAAAAATACAGGTCTTAATTTAGTCACTGATTTGAATAAATCTGAATTAAATTCCTCACATCATAAATATAACAAATACAGTCTGGTAAGACACAGCTATCTGAGAACATAAACTGGAAAGTCCATTCAGGGTTAATAGGAATTAAAAAAAATTAAGTCTGTCTTTTAAGAAAAAGATTTTTCCACAGCCAGTCTAAAAATAATTGCTATTAAACATCTAGCACTTTGCAGTGATAGATTGATGAAATGATACTACACATAATATGAATTTTACAGAACATTAGCTACTGACCATTCAGGGTTGAGTCAATTAATTGCAAAGAGGAACTGAAATTTAGATAAAACGAATATTGTGCTTATTTTAATTAAACTCACTCCCCTGTGTATGATATTACAATGAATGGCTTTGCAAAATCCAATTAGATATATTAATTGAGTGTTTGATAAGAATAGAAGCGGAAGCAGCATACAACATGATCATCATTAAGGTGCAAAGTGTCAATCTTGCACACAAAAACTGAACAAATAACAATGAAGAGCCAATCGCAATCTTTGAACTGAACACCAGAGAAAGTAGGAAATCATAACACCATTTCTACCTAAACCCAAAAGCATTTCTGCAAATTATTGCAAACTGACATTCTCTCACAAAATGGCCATTAAGAGGATTCAACAAATATTTTTCTGTATTCTAGTCCTATCATTTATCTGGACTGAAAGCTACTACTTGTAGGTGCTCTATCAGTTATAATTCACCACTGTCAAAATTAAATTCTGCTCTCTCCTGATCTCTTCCCTTTTATGACCATCGGGCTTATCCCTTGAATTTTTTTTTGCCGTCAAGTTGCAGGTGACTTATGGCAACCCCGTAGGGTTTTCAATGCAAGAGCCATTCCCATGTGGTTTGCCACTTTCTGCTTCTACAATACAAGTGAGGTGAGGGAAGGTTCAGCATTTCTCACTTTTGTGAGGGTATTTTTTTTTGTATTCTTCATGTGTGTGCGCGCGCACCTGGAAGTCACGGCGACCTCTGGTTACTGACCCCTCCTGGGGCCTAGAGGATATTCAGAAAGGTGGCTGAATAAAGCCTGCTCCTGGCCTCACAACTGCTGGTATTCCAAGGAGATCTCCCATCTAAGTACTTGCCAGAGTTGATCCTGCTTAGCTTCCAAGATCTGACGAGATCTGACTTGCCTGGGCTATCCAGGTCAGGGCAGCACTTCTCACTTTGATCTCCCTTCCATCTATTACACCTTCTCTTCATTTCCTACAGTCCTTCAACAATAGGCAAGAAGACGAAGTAGATGGCTGAGAAAGTGCATAATAACAGTCTACCAGGCAAAGAAGCTTCTAGATCTCCAGAAACTCACTGTTTGCAACACAGCTTCACTGTTTGCAGCACAGCTACCAGTGCAGACTGTGACACCAACACTTCAGAAAAGGAATTTTGATGGGGTGGCACGCATATATTTGGTATGGGAAAGATAAAATCCATTCTAATTTTCATTCTCATATAATAAGAGGAGCACTTATAAAAATATGGAACCCTATAAAAGATATTACACGAGAATTCCAAAATGGGTATCACCATTAGAGGCATTTGTAAAACCTTCACTAATTACTAGAAGTAACAGAGAATGTTATGAAATGTTGTTAGAAAAGAATAATGATCTAAAAACAGAAGAAAAATTGTTGCAACACAATATTCAATTATCATGGTGGCAATATTTGCAATTAAAATCAAGATATACTAAAGATGCTTCCCAAGGATTTGAAAACAATAAAAATGAATTCGATAAGATATGGCTATCTTCCAATGATAAGATGATTCAAAAACTATATAACCTTTTACTAGATGACTATATGCTAGAAGAAACAATTAAGCCATCTATGATTACCTGGATGAGAGATATAGGTCACAATTTAGACATAGAGGACTGGTCCAAAATTTGGAAGACTACTAAATTTATGAAAGCCATTTCATATAAGGAGAATATTTTTAAGATGTTTCATTGGTGGTATTGGTCACCTGAAAAAATAGCCAAATGCTTTAAAAAGAATTCAGATAAATGTTGGAAATGTAGAACCAGTGTTGGCACTTTTTTCACATGTGGTGGTGTTGTATAAAAATTCAAAAATACTGGCGAATGATACATAAGATAATCCTAGAAGTTACAGAGGTTAATTTAAAGTTAGAACCAGAATGTTATTTGCTTAACATGATACCAGATGATGTCAGATATAGTAATAGATCTGCTAGAATTCTTTTGGCAAAGTATTGGAAATCTGAGAAAATTCCCTATGAGAAAGAACTAATTAACAAGATATTAGATCTAGCTGAAATGGATAAATTAAGTTTACTTATGCAAAGTAAATATGATGAAGTGTATGTGAAGAGATGGTCAAGAGTTTATAAATAGATAAAAAGTAAATCAAACTGCCAGACTCGAATTATAACCAAAAGTAAATATGCATGTTTGTATAAAATTAAGAAAAAGACAGGTTGCTTACCTGTAACTGGTGATCTTCGAGTGGTCATCTGTGCATTCACACCCTTGGGAATACTGCGCCTGCGCTGAACCTTCTCGGTACCGGTAGCTAGCAAAAGGGATTTTCGCGCCTCTCCCAGGTCACGCGCCGGCTCCACTGCGCATGACCAAGGAGGGGCACGCAGATCCCGCCAGTTCCTTCTGACCGCCGCCCAACAGCCTTCAAAGAAACAAGATGAAGGGCCGAGAGCAGAGGGGAAGGAGGGCGGGTGGTGTGAATGCACAGATGACCACTCGAAGATCACCAGTTACAGGTAAGCAACCTGTCTATCTTCTTCGTGGTCTCTGTGCATCACACCCTTGGGAGAATAGCAAGCAATAACTCTTACCTGGAGGAGGGGCCGAGGCCCTACACCTGCGCCGTCTGCAAAATAGACCGACCCAACGCCACACGACGAGTAGACCGGACATCAAGGGCATAATGCTTCACGAAGGTGAGCGGAGTAGCCCAAGTCGCAGCGTTGCAGATGTCCTCCAATGGCATCCCTCTCAGGAAAGCTGTGGAAGCCGCCACCGCCCTTGTAGAGTGGGCGCGAAGTTGACCTGGAAGAGGTCTCTTAGCCAAAGCGTAACATAGCTTGATTACTTCCACAATCCACCTGGACAGCGTCTGGGAAGAGATCTTCTTCCCTAGGGAGGGCATACTGTGAGCAACAAACAAGGCTGGAGACTGACGAAAAGACTTGGTCCTGCCCAAATAGAACAGCAACGCCCTCTTAACATCCAGAGAGTGCAATTTCCGTTCCTCTTCATTGGCAGGAGACGGGAAAAATGACGGCAAAACTATATCTGAACGTAGATGAAACTCCGAAACGACTTTCGGTAAGAAGGAGATGTCCAAAGACAACGACACCCCATGAGGGGAAAAAATCAAGTATGGTGGATCACACCTTAAAGCAGACAACTCACTGACTCGACGAGCAGAAGTAATGGCCACCAGAAACGCAGTCTTGAGCGATAACAACTTTAGAGAGCAAGTGGCCAGTGGTTCGAAGGGTTTTCCCATCAAAAACCGCAAAACTAAAGCCAAATCCCAGGCCGGAGTCGGAGAACGACGGGGAGGGTACAGGCGAATAAGACCTTTACAAAACTGTTTCGTCTGAGGATGCGAGAAAACTGAAAACCCATCAATAGATGGATGAAAAGCTGACACCGCAGCTAAATACACCTTAACTGAAGAAAAACTGAGTCCCAAGTCCATTCTGGACAAAATAAACGCAAAAATAGACCTCAAATCCACTGGCGGAGGAGGTAAATTGGAAGAACTCAAGTACTGTAGGAATAAATCCCACTTCTTTGCGTAAGACGTCCTAGTAGACAGTTTACGACAATTCAACAGGACCTCATTGATACGGTCATCCATCACTGAAAGCGTATTTCCCATAGAGTCAACTTGAGACTCAGAGGATCGTAGTGAAGGACCTGGCCTTCCTGAGCTTGGAGGAGATCCAACTCCTGCGGGAAGTGTACGAAGGATCCCTTGGCTAACCGCAGCAGTGTCGGAAACCACACCTGCCGAGGCCACCAGGGGGCTACCAGGAGACAATGGGGCTTGTCCTGTTGTATTTTCACAAGCACCCTGTGGAGCAGCGGAATCGGAGGAAATAGGTATAGAAAGTCGTGAGCCCACGACATCAACAGACCGTCCCCCATTGACAGAGGGTCCAACCCCGCTCTGGAGCAAAACCTGGGACACTTCTTGTTCAATCGAGTTGCAAAAACATCGATGTGGGGATGTCCCAGATGTTGAAAAAGAGGAAGGAGATACTTTGAGTTCAACTCCCATTCGTGGTCCGATGCTCCCCCTCTGCTCAGGAAATCCGCTTGTTGGTTCAAAGTTCCTGGCAGATGGGCAGCTTGGAGAGTGATGTTCCAATGAAGGCACTCTTCCCATATGTCCATAGCTAGCCTGCAAAGGGACCTGGACACGGTCCCGCCCTGGCGATTGATATAAGCCATCGCAGTTGTGTTGTCCGTAAAAATCAACACAGCTTTTCCTACAACCTGTCTGAGTAAGGATCTGAGGGCAAATTTTACGGCCAGCAGTTCCAGATAGTTGATATGATGACTCTTCCAAAGGGGTTGCCATGGAGCACCCACACAAGTGTCGTCTGTATGAGCACCCCAACCCCACAGGGAGGCATCTGTGGTGATGGACATTACGGGAACGATCGGTTGGAACGGTGCACCCGCCAACAGATTGGTGTCCACGAGCCACCACTGCAGGGAGACGAGGACCTGCGGAGGCACTACCAGTTGAAGGCTCGGAGGATGGATGGAAGGGCGAAATTTCTTTAGAAACCACAGCTGCAACGGGCGCATGCGAAGGCGTGCATATTCGATCACGGAAGTGGTGGCTGCCATGAGACCCAAGATCCGCTGAATGTGGACCGCTGATGTCACGTTGGACTGG